TGAATTATATAAGAGTTCGTAAGTCTTCATTTTATTTCTCGCCTCGAGCGGGGAACCCTACTAATCCCTTTTCAGTACTCTCTGTTCTAGTGGTAATTCAAACCAAAAGAAAACACAGATACCTTTCAAGGACCCGGGACATTTGGGCAACAGCCTCGAACCCGTGAATCACTTCAAGACTTCAAGACTTCAAGACATGTGAGGTCTCTCGCCTGAACATGGGAAGAAGATAATTTTTTCCTTTCTCTTCCCTTGCAGAGGCGGAGACGATTGGCACGGGAAGGCCGTGGTCATCTCCTGTTCTGTGCAAACTGACTGACTGAATTCGAAGCACTACGAGAACACGGAGCTCAGAGTGCAAGAACCTGGACACAAGTCCTGTGACCTGACCTGACCTTACTGACTGAAGGTCATCGAGTTTGTAGATTTTCAAAATTGTTTTTCTTTATCACGCTAACATTTTAAGCTACATGCAACTAATGAAAATAGAGCTTTCGTGGAATAAAAATTATGTGTGACAGTGATTCCGGACTTTCTATCAGTATGAATGGCAGCCAAAATGATGCACCATGTCAGAGTGTCATTTTCATCAGACTCACGTGCCCCGAGTTGGAGCTGGAGGTGGGCCGTAAATACTGAATAACTGATTGTTTACAGAGTGTACATAACTTCAGCCCGACAGACATAATCATGGATATCAAAATGAACATAATCAATTCTATAGATAAACCATTGAAAGATAAATGGAATTATGGGCTTTTTCTTCCTCCATCTAAAGGAAAAGCCGGAAAGTTTCTTCAGGAGGACAGAATGCTCAAAGAATATCCGTTTGACAACTCAGTGGGACATTTAGAGGTAGTTAAGATAATGATTATGTAAAGTTTGTTTTCAGCTGAAGTATAAACAACGCGTCTATCGAGTTTTGAAAACAAATGTTAATAAATTAAAGAAGATACATATAAAGGTAAGGAAAATTCTTTTTGTGGTCATAGGTCGATTGGTATACCACTATGCAAATAATAAATGAAGCTTTCTGTAGCCAAACTTTCATATGCACAGTAACCTTATTTGCTATTCAGTTTTCTTCGAGTAGAGACAGAGGCTTCTGTCTCCCGGTTTCCCGGGAAACCTCGTATGTGCACTAATCACCACTGACCTGAAGCACGAGCCAACTCCAGATCTGCGTGCAACGTTTATCCAAGGAAGCTATCAAGATTCTTTTTGAAGTGTCTATCTTTAACCCCATCCAACTCATTAAACACATAATTCTGTTGCTCCACAAGTTGATAGAATTAGATTCAGCATTCATGAATAAAGCCGTTGTTTTTTCTTACTTGTATTTTTATAACAAATGCTTGTTATTTCGCTTATTTATCGGCATTAATATGTAATTATGGCAAACATGGTTGTAAGAAGTCAGGCTTATACAGATTTCAATGTGAAGGTGTTTTGCTTGATTCCCTTAAGTTTCAGCATTTATACTTTTTTCATAGCAGTTTTTCTTAAAACTGGCAACTGTGAAATAATATTAAGTTTCAATGGATAAATCATGTTCCACAGGCTTGAACCATTTCTCGGTTACAAGGGTGCTATGAATACAATGTGTTTTTGAAAGCTTCTATCGACCGACGCCTTTATAAAACATGATTGCATAACAAATGTTTTCACTATGATTCTTAAACTTACCAAACTTTTATAATAAATAATAAATAAATTGTCCGGAATGAGTATTCAGCAAATCCTTAAGGATTTGCTTGACGGTTCCTAAATTGGTACTACTATCAAGCAACAAATCCTAATTTTATGCATTTATTCTTCTAATCCACCTTTGGTTTTATGTAGTAAGCTAAATGTTGCAACTACCATTTTTTAGTCGAACCTAAAGAACTTTCTTGATTGTGTAAAGTTGGGTGACGTTGAAAAAGTCAGCAAGTGGTTGAATAAAGGATTGGATCCAAATTTCCAATGGAAGGACGGTGGAGGTAAGTATTATTCTAATTACCCTGTGACCCATTTAGGTAACATGAATTATAACAGGAAGGATTGATTTTGTAAACCAAAAACGTTTCTGTACACAAGTGACCGGTGCTAAGGAGCATACATACAAGAGCTAGTCTATCAATTAGTTAATTACGAGGCTATAAAAATGGATGTAAAAATATAATGTTTTAAAGCGTGATGTCAAGTAAAATTTGTATCTGTTTATTTTCCTTCGTTTCTCTGATTTCGGGTGTATTATTTTTCTTGAACTGTTATTATTTATGGTTTTTGAAACAAGGGTGAATTTGCATGTTAGTTCATGTCTTCTTAGGATTTCCAGAAGATTAGAAATAACTCTAATCATTCATGTTACTCCGCAAGGTTTTCTGCAGTTTCAGGCTTCGTACCACTGTAAATATAAAATTTCATGCTTGAAGTTGTTTTAAATGAACAACGAAACTATACCGTTTAAAAAGATATTTAAAGTCACTGGAGCAGTAGGAATAAGGTTTTGTAGTTAAAAAGCGACTATTTTGATTATTATTACAGAAACTTTTAAATAATTTGTATAAGAAATTGTATAATCAAACTTTCTTTGGCACAGAAACTCCACTCACTATTGCTGTGAAATCAGACAAACCTAGAGAAATGATCATGGCTCTCGTGGCTGGTGGGGCTCATTTGGATTATCGAGCCGCAGATACCATGACTCCACTGCACCGCGCAGCTGCTTTGGGCAATTACGAAGCAATAAAAGTAAGCGATCTTTATGAAAGCACCAGTCACATTATTTCGTTTTTGGTTGTAAAAAAGTTAAGGCTGATGGTAGTTTAATCACAACTTGAGCTGCGGGCATTCACTCACGTAGTACTATTAGAGTAAAAAAACGTTTCAAAAACCTAAATAATACAGTTTATACAGGATCATGCAGTTATTCATATTTTTTTGGATTATTGACTCGAAGTAATTTCAGAACTTATCTTGGCGTCGTAGCACACGATCCCAAGTGTCAATTTTTCATTCTTTAGTTTGTCAGAACATCAATCAAGAACACTGATTATTTCAAACAAAACAAACCCGAAAGATCTTATAAAATAGAAATGAAAACAACAATTGTTTTAAAAAATGGTAAATTTCTCACACATGCATACACCATTAGTGGGTATAAAAACCAAGGAAAAAATGAGGCATAATGTTAAGTTTTAAGGAAGAATTTACCTTTGATTGAACCAACAAGGCCGGAGATTATAATATTTGCATCAGAACTGATTTAGTGGAATGAATTTATACATCGCACTCAAATCCATGCTTATATTAGGATATTTTCTGCTTTATTCTGCGAGAAGTTTAATTTCTTTCAGTGAATGGTAAATATTTGGAATTAAAAAAACATGAAGTAACCTCAGGATCACTGTATGTAGTGGTTTGATAAACTTCAAAGTATAAACACTTAGAGAATTCTGCCTTATACAGAGACATTAGACTACTTTCAAATGTAAAATGTATGTAATACGTGAATGTGATGAACTTCGCAAACGAAAGAATTAAATTACCATGTTATATTAGTATTAACTTATGATGTGTGCGAAGATCGAATTTAGTGTTCATGCGAAGCAATCAATTGCGGACTCGTTCTATCGTCAGGAACTGATATTTGTTTCAGACTACATGAAGAGCGCACAAGATGGATACACCAACCACAGGGTAATACGTCTAGTCTCTGTTGTGTCAAAAGTACCAGGACTTTTATTTTTGCAGGTTTGAGAAATCAAGCAGAACCTGAAGCTGGGTTCTGCATCCGTATTGGATGCCTTGTTCAAATGTTCACTTTTCGATTGTTTTGGGAGAGGCGTTCTAGTTTTCAGAGACCAAATCAATTAGGGTTAAACAAGTAATAAAAGTTGGTTGTCTCAGATAAGGTGAACTGAATTAATTTTTACCTCTTCAGCAAGCTTGAAAATTTGTTTTGCAGACGTTTTATCACCAGCCCTGGTAACGATTTCAGTGGTTATGAAGTAGCCACTTGACAAAAACTATACTTCGTCATACTCAACATTTTGATCTTTGGTCGCGAAACTGGGAACTCTCTGCATTGGGAATGCTCAACAAACTTCCGCATTCGACAACTAATATCTTCGAAAAATTACTTGAATGGGATGGGTAAATGCTATGGGTAGCACAAAAATCTTTTGTCTTGTATTGAATTAAAAATTTCTTATTTCATGAATAACGCAATGTAATGTAAATAAAAAATGTCCAAAGGATGTTGCACAGCAAATATAGAGAAGAATTTATCTCCTTGATTCTTCGCTTGAATACAAAAATAGTCGCGGTAGGTAGAAAAGCGGAGTGTGTACGAATGTTCTAAAATTTCACGGGTCTTGGATAAGCATCGATTCGTAGATAGAGGTTTTGAGTTACTTGGTAATTGTGGATTATCGGTTGTGATCAAGTCTCATGAGCAATCAAAGGTAGATTATAGGATACATCGGCAAACCCCTCAGAGCCGAATCCGATAAGAGCATGAGACATGGAGACAGTTGCGCAGTTATGTAAAACTACTTTGAGACTGGACGTTGGGATAGATAGGCAATCAAGCAAAGGGTTGTGAAGTGAATGCGGTTCGAAAAGGCTTAAAAGAAAAGGGTTTTTGAGCTTCAGAAATGGCTAAAATATTCCGCAGTTGGACAATTTTGGGCCTTCTAAGGAGTAGAAGTAGAGAATAGTTAAATAGAAAACCGTTTATCTGGAAAGGATAGAAAATATTTTTCGATGCACGCCATGCAAGTTTGGCATTATGAGAAAATCAAGACATACAATAAAAAGTAGAGGCTGAATAGAATCGTAGAATAAAAAAGTAATGATTTTGATTTTTTCTATTTACGAATTGCTTAATGGAATGATCAATTTTAGTTATGAGGCTGTGACGAAACAGAGGCTGACTGGAAAAATATAAAGATGGAGCAAGTAGCCTGCGGCAGCGGGATGTGAACTTTTGACCTCCGGTGATCTTAATTGTTTGACCATTGGAAAGACGAGGAAAGAAGTATTGCAATCCATATTAGATGCATAGATATCAGGTTTTCGTGAAAAAGATACAAGAGGTTTTGCCGACCCAAAACAATTCAATGTATGTGTATCATGCAGTGTTGGTATACAGTTCTGACTTGAATGAAGTACGCGCGGATAATTATTCTTGAGTGACCGCAATATTGGAAGTACCTGAAATGTTGTAAGAAAGAGAAGCATATGGAGTGACATCATCGGGCAAAGCACGGATAAGGTTAGAGGTTTTGAGGTAAGCGACCGTCGATGAAGAAGAGAGGAGAAAAATGAAAAAGCGTTTGGTGAAAAAATAAAAAATAATCGTCTGTGCTATCTTATTCCTATTCATTTTTGTTGATGTTTTCTGGTCTTTTGCTCGCTTCCAAGTTGGCGCTGTTATTCCAATGAAGTCTGAAATCAAACATAGCTTGTCTAATGAAATGCTCCTGTAAGAGCTACGTGAATCTGTTAATAATTCAGTGATCTATTAAGTTTGCTCACAACCAAAAACATAAGCCGGCGGAATTATCAAAATAAATATATCGGGAAAAAAGTATATTAAAATCCGTCGCAACTGGCTGGAGCGTTACAGGGATTATAATTAATCAACGGTATTGAATGAAAAATTTCTTGAAAGGAATTATTTGTTCATAGCAGNATTCTATGATTAACACTGAGATCACAATGATAATTCCTTTCTCATCAGAGGGTATTTCTACAAAATGGCATAAATTTGGTGCTTTACCATTTTACTTGATTACCTTGTGGTTGTTTATCAAGAGAAATTACGAGCTGGAAACAAAGTGCCAGCAAAGAACTTTCATGCCTAACCCACTCAGCGTTTCTAAACGTCTCAGTGTTAGATTTAATTTATGCGTTACCATATGTACATGCACATCATTTCGCTTTCAGCTAAATGGTATTGACCGGGTTCGATAGAACACATTGGCTTAAATTCGCAGGTAACTACAACAATAAATCAAATGCGCGATTTTGGACCATTGCCTCAAAGTTTTGTAGCCAAAGACTTTTTAAGCCTGAATGTGGCGACGTCTGTAATACTGGTCACACATCCTGATCAGTAGCTTTCCGAGTGAACAGATATTACCAGAATTGAGTCGGTTTGATAATGAACTGTTTTTGATGTGGCCTATTCATCCCGCTTGTCTTTGCTAATATTAGGAATTTTATCAATGCAAAACTTAACACTCTACATTCTCCAAGGCTGATCGTCAATGGGATCATCCGTGGACACTAGAGTGGCATCCTTTCTGTGAACAACACTTTGCACGGAAGTAGCTGATTCAGCAGAATAAAGTCTCAGTATGGTTATTCTTTTGTTCTACCCATTTTGAACATTATATTCTCTGGTCACGGACGAAAATTACTGCAGAATGTGTTAGACGGTTGCTAAAATGGAGAACAACATACAAACATCTGCAATAAGTTGAAAATCCTGCGAATGGTTCACGGAAACGTGATAAATACTGAAACCTTAAGAAGTTTTGGTTTTTCGGGGATTCAGTTTCAATTTTGTCACCTAAATAGTATGCTTATGCTTAAAGAGCAATCTTTGAAGTTAGGAAGGCTGAATAATTTGATGTCAGTTGACTGAAATCGGAATATGGGCGATACCATGGCATGACAAAATTTGTCGTAACTTCGATGGTCAATAGTTTGATCGTAGAAGTTTATTCCTATAGAATGGTGTGATGCGTGACGTGATTCACTAGGAATTCAATGACTGTCTCGATGTTCGGCTGGGGACATGGAAAAATGTCTCAACGGATGAAGTAAAACATAGATAGTAGAAGATATCGGGGTCAAGAAACACATCTGTTTCAGTCTTTCAGATTTCATCCAGGCAGCTGTAATTTTCAGCTTATACGGAAGCAAATGGAGATGGTCCCGTTCTCATTATGTAGCGAATAGTAATCTGAGTGATCTTATTTAAACTTCGTGCATCGCTTAATACAACAAAACATCAGAATGGTGTATTTCAAATTTGCTGAATAGTATTTTAAGAATGTTTGCATTCTAAAACTGGGTATCACAGTAAACTGCTCTTCAATTAGTTTGGTGATAGACACTAGAGGAATAATAAGAAAGCTCAAAATTATACACGAGGTAAATTTTTCGCAGTTTTCTGTACATCCTCTATTTTGTAGCTAAATTTCCATTCGAATTTAAGCAAAGAGAAGCGGCCAATCATTGTGTTGCTAATCGACAAAAGCAACTGGAATAAATAGACGGTGGTGATGGGATTCAAACACAAACCATCCAAAGTTGTCTGCTGAATTGTCAAACTCACAGAAAAGGTTGTTCATCTGCATCTTTTAAACCCTTTATCATGCTCATTATTCTTTATGTGACGGCCGAGAACAAACGGACAGATTCGGTGGCTGACCTAATTCGCGTACGCGCGAAACAATCTCTGCTCATTTGGATTACACAGTTGTCCCATTGAGAATAGATACATTTGAACCATAATAGGTGCCCCGGTCACTCATCAATGAATTCCAGTTTGACCACACCCTAAATGAAATCATAAGCCATAGAAAAAAGGAAAAAATTCAACTAAGCTCAGCAGCTGAAATGTGCTGAGATCGGAAATGTGAAAGAGTACGGCGAATCAAATCTTTGTGTTGTGCCTAACAATATGGATATACGTTTAAATGTCAATCAGGCGATCCGGATCAACAGGAATCACA